AAAAAAAAGGAGTGCATGTGTCAGTGTGTGTAAATATCTGTGTGTGTTGTTGTGGGGGTGTCTATGTTTGGTGGGGGTATTTCGTTTTTTTTTTTTTTACTTCATTTTCTGCATGGCCGTAGTCCTCGACGCGCGCGACCCCCCCCTGGGGTCGCGTTCAATTTTCTTGCGCTCCTTCACGTGCAGCGCGTTTGAACGCGATTGAATGCGGCCCCGAAGGGTATGAACCCACACGTTTGAACGTGAACGCGTGTTCGACGCGTTCAACCAGTTACATAGCCTTAAAGGCCTGAGCTAAAACCCCGGTCTGGTGCTTGAGTTTCAGGGTAGGTCGATCTTGCGAGGGCCTGAAAATGGCCCGTCGGTTTTAGGTTGGAAGCCGAAACGACACAGGGTCTGAAACAGGCCCTACCCCTACGGACCCTTAGTCTACCAGGTCGAGCTCTGTTGGGCCTGTGTGGTACGGAGTATGCCACACTCCCCCCTCCTTGAAAGACCGAGCTTACCTGCGAGGGCGAAGCTGTCTAGTGGAGGGAGGGACTGAAGTCCAGATGGGAGGCTGTGCAACTTCCGTCGCTAACCGTTTCTTTTCATAATAAGCATAGATGTCAGGAGCGGAGGCTCGCAAAGCTGCCCGGCAAATCCATCGCGTGTCATCGGGGTTGCACCACTTGAATGTGACTTTGTACTGCATAGGCTTGTTGCCGTGCTTGCGATGTGTGATGACGCGGTCAACTTCCTAATGACCATCCATGGAAGGAGGGTCCTGTGATCGTCGTCCAGGGAAGTCGTCGCTCTTCGCTGGTGTATATGTGGCCAGCTTGGAGGTGTGAAAAACCGGGTGCACCGTGAGGTGCGGCGGGATTTCAATCACGAATGAAGGGCCATCGAGCTCATCACCCGCGGCTGATGTGACAGGCCATGGTCCAAACCACTTTGGAAGTAGCTTGCGGGATACATCCTGCTCGAGTGCAAACTCTTCTGTGGAGACCCAAACAAGGTCCCCGGCGCGGATGGGGTATGGCACGCGACGCCTGTTAGCTTGCTGTTGCATGCGGACTTGAGCCTTTTGCATGTTGGTGCGGGCTTTAGCCAGCAAGTCCCTATACTTCCGAACGGAGGCGGGCGAACAAGCGGCGTCAATGTCGGCAGTCCTTGGAAAAGGAAGATTAGCGAAGATGCGGCCTTTCCGGCCACCGTGGTATAACTCGAACCGAGTCACGCCGATCGCCGGGTGCACCGAAGTGTTGTAGGCGAACTCGATGTCGGGGAGGCGGTCCACCCAATACTTCTGATCCGTACAGATGAGTGTGCGAAGCATTACTTGAGCGGTTTGATGTGCCCGCTCCGTATGCCCGTCCGTTTGTGGATGCCGAGCCGAACTTGGTTTCATCTCGATGCCGAACTCTTTCATGAGAGAGGACCAAAATACCGACATGAACCGAGTGTCGTGGTCGCTGACGATGTCTTCCGCAACGCCGTGGTCGCAAATCCAGCCGGTGTGTAAGAGGCGTGCAAGTTCCGGAGCCGTGGCGTGGTACTTGCAAGGGAGGAATCGCGCGTACTTGCTCAAACGGTCAACGACCGTGAGAATGTCGTCGTTCCCGAAGTGGTCCTGGGGGAACGGCCCAATGACGTCCATGGCAATGGAGAGGCCGGGTTCCCGTGGAATAGGCAACGGGTGTAACTCACCGTAGGGGTTGCGATTGCAGGGTTTGCTTCGTCTGCAAACTTCGCAAGAGTCGCAATACCGAGTGACGTCGGTAATGAGGTCAGGCCACTGGAATCGCTGCCGAAGTCTTGCGATTGTACGGTTGACTCCCAGGTGGCCGGTGAGTCGCGAGTCGTGGTACTCGCCGAGGAGACGAGTCCATAAGCGACGGTCGTGCGGGACGCATAGTAAGTCCTTGCCTCGTGAGTGAAGCAGCAGGTAGTCATCGACGATGCGATAGTGGTTGGCCGGTGGGTGATCTGAGGATAGTTGCTTGTAAAGCGTCGCGTATTCTGGATCGGACTTGTATGCTCGCACAAAATGTTGATGAAGGGCTTCGTCGAAACTGAACGCGTGGTGAGTCACGAGAGAGCATCCGCGGCTCGGTTGGGGAGGCTCGGAATGTGTTTTGGTGTGAAGTTGAACTGATCGATGAAGTACATCCACCGAGCAATCGTGCTGCTCACCATGTTTTGCGTCTTGTAGTAGGTCAATGGGTTATTATCCGTCACCCAAGTGAACCTACGACGCCCGAGGAGGAAGTGTTGCCAACGCTTGAGTACCGTGACGAACGCGAGCAACTGCTTCTTCCGCGCATCATCAACCGAGTTGATGGGAGGCACCTTTTGGCTGAAGTACTCAACCGGGTGCCAATCTACTCCGTTGTGTTGTTCCAAAACTGCACCCATGTCGTAGCCGGAAGCGTTCGTAGTCACTCTCGTAGGCAAGGTGGGATCGTAGATACTCAAGACAGGAGCGAGGAGCAACGTCGTCTTCAATTTGTGGAACGAACTGCGAACTTCGTCGGTGAACTGGAATGGCACCTGTGGAGACTGCAATCTGGACAAAGGTGCGGCGATCCATGCGTATCCTCCGATGAAGCGTTGGTAGTACCCGACCAATCCCATGAAAGAGCGAACCTCCATTGTGTTGGTCGGTTTCGGCCAATCCTGAATGGCCTTGATCTTGTCCGCAAGCGGACTGATGCCTTGCGGCGTCACAAAGTGGCCTAAGTACTCGAACTCCTGCTGTGCGAATTTGCACTTGGCTCGGTGGGCCTTGTACTTGGTCGTATGAAGCCTGTCCAAAACAGCACGTAGATGCACGATGTGCTCGTCCAAAGTTCGGCTATACACCAAGATGTCATCGAGGTAGATGAACACGAACCGGTCCAACATGTCGCGAAACTCCGTTGTCATTGCCGCTTGGAAGGTGGTCGGGGCATTCGTGAGGCCGAATAGCATTACGACCCACTCGAAGTGCCCGTACCGTGTCTTGAACGGGGTTTTGTACCGATCTCTTGGATGGATCTCGAGCTGGTGGTAACCGGCCTTGAGGTCCAACTTGGAGAAATACTGGGCGCCGCCCAAGCGTTCGAGAATATCGCCGATGCGTGGAAGCGGGCCAGCATTCTTAATGGTTTGAGCATTAAGCTTGCGATAGTCAATGCATTAGCGCAGCTCCTTGTTCTTATTCTGAACGAAGAGAACGGATGCACCGTAGGGCGAGCAACTAGGGCGAATCCAGCCTTTGTCAATGAGGTCATCGAGTTGCATTCGAAGCACTTTTAGTTCCTCCTCGCTCATGCGGTAAATACATCCGCGCGGAGGTACGGCCCCGTCTTCGAGGATGATCTCATGACGAATTGGCCGATTTGGTACGATTCCAGCGGGGGCTTCAAAGACGACGCCATAGGAGTCAAGAAGTTGTACAATGCGTGGATCCGGTGGTTGTTCCGCCGCTGGCTCGTCGGGAGGAGGGAGGGCGTGCCAGAAACAAATGCCCATTTCCTCCACGTCGTTCCGTGCGATGGATTTGCGAATAATCGCAGCGGAGACCACGTAAAAACCAATCGAAGGATGAGGTGGGGGGACCGTACATGGCACAAGTACCCCGTTCCGGTCACGAACGTGAACGGTGCGGTGGTAAAAGTTCATCGGGTGGTCCTTGCTGCGCAGCCATGACATGCCCAATATCATGTCGAACTTTGTGTCCAATATGTCAAAGGATACGGCCTCACGTGCAAGCGGGGCAAAGTACACGGGGACGGAGTCAATGCACCGGTCGATGGACTTGTGTGTACGACCGTCGGCCAACGTGATTTGTGTAGGCTGCGATTTCCTTCGAACGCGAGGCCCAAGGCCGACACGGGTAATGAAATTCTGGCTGATGTAGTTGCGAGTAGCTTCACAATCAATCAAGGCGCTGCAGGTCGCCTTCCCGATCTGAATGAGGATGTAGAGTAACGGTGCATGAGTGTCGTCGTACCGTTGTGTGGCATACTCGAGGTCAATCTTCGCAATGTACTCGCGAAGGTCAACAACCGCTATTCCGTCTTCCATCAACAGAGTTGGTACTGCAGCATGCAAGTAGTTGCGTAGCTCCGCCATTAGGGCGTTGCAATGCGGCTTCGGCAAGGAACCAGATGGGGGAAGAGGCAACCATTGGAAGTCCTCCAGTGTCAATGGGTCGATTTCCTCAAGTCTAGACCACACCGAAGCGTCCCCTGATGTCGGCGAGGATGCTGGTTCACTTGGCGATGGCGATGAAGTCGCACACGCAAATGACTCTTGCACGTGGAGAGGTTGGTCCAACGGTGGGACCAGCTGGACAGCACAGTCTTCATAATCTTCGTGAAGACTGGCGACATACGCATGTTCCCCGGACGTGGAGGAGGTTGTTTGCAAGGCAACCGTGTCCGGCGGAGTGGGAAGTGGAGTCGCCTCACTTCCCGCGGATCTCAGTTTCCCGAGCTTTGTCGTGGACGAACATCTTCTTTGCCTTTGTCAAGGCATTGCGGCGGCGTCTGCTTGGTGTTGTTGCACAAATAGCAACAGCTCCACCTCCGACGGAGTTTGTATTGCTCCTCCGTGAGGTTGAACTTCTTCCATGGCCCATTCGGCTGTCCGGCTTCCGTTGTTGACGCAGATTTCACCTTCTTCTTCTTGTTGTTGTTGTTGCGTCGTGGTGGAAGGGCGTTGACTCCATCTCCTTCACTAGACTCGTGAGTAATCACATGGTCGCTCTCTTGTCCATTTCCTTGGACAGCAACGACTTGCTGCGGCCGCGGGCCTTTGCCCTTTTCCACAAAATTCGGTTGGCTTCGCCGCTCGTTGGCTGCCCACCGATTGGTTTGGATGACTTCGCGCGCCTTCTCCACGATCTGGTCAAAGTCCGTGTACAAGCTGCGCTCCCCAAGGGCCGTGCTCAACGAGTCAACAGACCGCTGGAAGAATTCGCGACGAAGATGAACAAACGGTATGTCCAGATTTGGAATCGTCTCAATTTTCTGCCACTCGGTTAGCCATTCGCGTGTTGGCTGGCTGCCTTGATGCATGTTGAAGATCCGGTTTACGCCTTTGCCCTGAGCGTCGTCGACGATGAAGCGTTTTCGCCACTTCTCAGTCATAGCCTCCCAAGTGATCTTGGTGTAAAGCTTCGAGACTTCTACGCCTTTGGTTTGAGCCAGGTGGTTGAGCCACACTTGGTTGGCACCGGTGTTGCAGAGGTAAAGTGCTGAGATCTTCGACTCGAGCGGGACCAGGTGGATGGAGAGCTCATTGGTGAACCCTTGCCACCAACTGATGGGGTCCGCCTTGTGGTAGTCATCAAACCTCTCGATGCTGAACTTCGGCGTCACGTTGTTGCAGGTCCCAGTTGGTTGCTGCTGCAATTGATGCAGATCCGCTTGTAGAGCAGATATTTGCTGGCTGATGGTCGTCGGTTGTCGGAAACTGTTCAAATTTTCGACAAGCGCGACTAGATGATCCAGTCGTTCTTCCAGCTTGCGGATCGGTGGATTAATGCTTGATGATGTCGTGTGCCTGTGCGGCATGTTATCCTTCTCCAGCATGTCAAGGCGGGCGTGGAGGCTCTTGAGAGTCTCCTCATGCTCTGTAATGGTACGCGCCTGCCGAGCCAGCCCCACTTGTTGCCAATTACAAGTGAGGATGACTTGGTACATCATGTTCGCAAGGGCTGACTTGGTCTGTTCCTCCATAGTTGGCTCCGTTGCTGCCACCGGATCAACATTCCAAGCTTGGAGTGTGGCAATATGAGCGGCTTCCTGTTGCATGAGGACAGATGCGGCATCTCGTCGAGCTTTGTTATGATTGGCAGCTTCGTCCACTTGCTGTCGGCGCCGTTGCGTTTCAGCGTGTGCAATGGCATTGAGACGTGCCTCTTCGGCTGCCGCCTCACGTTGTTGTTCCTCTTGGACTTGTTGCATGTAAGTGCCCAGGCGGGCCAGGAAGGCCGTCATGGTCTCTCCTTGCTGCCGGACTGGTGCAGCGTCGAGGGTTCCCGCAGAAGTTGCAGTGGAACCCTCCTGCTACGCCTGTGGGGCCGGGGGGTTCGAGCTGCATCATTGTCCACCGTGGGGTTGTCCATCTTAGAGGCGTAGCTGCTGTTCTGTTGTGGCTGCCCGCCCATCACGTGCGGCGATGCGGTTGCTGCGTCGGAGCATAAGCTACAGTTAGCTGTATGGTGTTGATGACGTGGTACTGCTGACGTGGCCCTGCTGCTGACGTGGCGCGGCTGATGTAGTCTGCTGGGATGGTACTGCTGACGTGGCACTTACCAAGCCGAGAAAACAGCAAAAGGGTGGGTGGGAGGGAAACACAGGCAACGCACCAAACTGCAATGTCCACGCCGATCCTAATCAACAGAAAAAAAAAAAAAAAAAAAAAAAAAAAAAAAAAAAAA